GCGCAACTACGTCTTTGGCAAATCCCCAGTCTTTCACTCCCGCATGAAACATGTGGCGATCGACTTTCATTTTGTTCATCAACGAGCTCAACGGGGACTTCTCCATGTTCTTCACATTCCTTCTCATGCTCAACTGGCTGATGCTCTTACAAAACTCCTTCCACGGCAGCGTTTTACTCTTCTCAAAGACAAGCTCAGGATTCTTGGGAGTGACCGAATACCTGGCTTGAGGGGGCGTATAGAAGGAAACAAATCACACGATCCTTCCCAAAGGAAGTAAGATATTTTCTACCGTTACTAATCTAATTAAGGGAAAATATATTTGTATTTATTAGAGTAATTATATTAGAATATTTCCTTATAGAATAGCTCTTTGTATGTATAAATACCACTATAGACTAATGGAATGATCATCTAATTCAGTTCTGAAAACTCCTTTTGTATATTCCTTTAAATCTGTCATAGAGGAATACAGGATGGATTTCACTTCTATTCAGGATCACTGACATTTTTAACTACCCAATACTGGTATCTAAACATAAAACTAAACACATTGTATAGCATCAACTAAATATACAAACAAACTAAGCATAAAACATAAAGTGATCAAACAAACATAAAACATAAAACGTACTGTATAACTTAAACTACAAACATAAAAGTGAAAAACTAACATAAAAGTAATATCATACTCCTGCAGTCCCAAATTGTAAGATACATTTACTATTCACTTGGTCAACATAAATCACTCTTAATCTTTTACTTTATATATCAAAAGTTTATTAAATTTGAATTATTTTTGGCAGGTTTTGTAGCGGTTTTAATGTAGTTTCTGAATATGTAAATTTTATTTTCTAAAACTAATTTGAGTGTTGACAGGGATCAATTTACTTTATCGTCGGTCAAACATCGTAAACCGTAAAGTATCTTACAAATTGGGACGGAGGGAGTAATAAATATTAAAGCATACATAATATGATAATAAACATACTACTGTCATAATACAGTATGATTTAGATCTTAAGGGTTTTCCATCTGATGTGGTGCTTATGTTCTAGATCTTAAGGGTTTTCCATCTGTTAGAATGATTTAATTTTTCCTTTTGCTTTGTACTCCATCCCATAGAAAGGTTCCCACTTTGCTTTCTTGGACGTCCCATTTAAAGGTTCTCATTTCCATTTTAGAAAAAAATTAATAATCTTAAATGACAAATTAATCATTAATTAATAAAAATAATACATTTTTAACATAACAATTATCGGTACTGAACACATTATTTGTATACCTATTAAAATTATTTCTCAAAATACACTTGAACTACCTTATTTAATTATTGTCTAAATAATTGTTCCGTTTTACCATGGGAACCTTTCAACGGGGCAGAGGTAGTATTATTTTAAATTTCAAGTGAATTATAACCAACGTTCTGTTTGGCAAAAAAAATCGTCTTTCTTTTTACCTTGCTGTCAAGACTAACATGGTAATATCATAATACTCCATATTATGGTATATTGGTATCTAGTGTATTACTCATTCCGTCCTGCAATAAGGTTGAAACTTTTCTTTTTGGGATGCCCCACAATCAAGTTCCTACTTCTCTTTTTGGTAATATTTGAGTGGCAAATACTCTTTTACCCCTATGAAAGTTACATCATTAATTATTAATTTTCTCTTTCATACTTTTGAGGGAAGGGCATATTTGGCAAGTAAATTTAAAAAATTACTTTGCCTAAGAAAAATTATGAAGTCAAACTAGGAACTTAATTACTTCACGGAGGGAGTATAATATTAATATCGAAAACTGTATTATTAAATACTACTACTAGAAGCAATGGTCTTCACTAACGGAGTAATATGAACATCCATGATTCTCATAAAAATCTCCCATATACTAGTTTAATAACAGAGCACTGCTAGAAGCAATGGTCTTCACTAACGGATGATTCTCTACATAAAGGACACATTGAGGGGAAAATTTGATAAAGTCAGCATAGGTTGGATGGTAAATGTAAAATCTTGTTAAGTGTCTTCCAAAGAAAGATAGAGATAGATGATGAAATTTTGGATCACCATAGTCCATATGAGAAAAAGAGAAAGTGATAGCCTTTGCTTCTCCGTGTTCTTCATAGGTAGAAGAAATGGAGAATTGACCATTCTTGCTAGGAAGCCAAACATTTGAGTCACGGAGATCAGTTGTTGTGAGTAATATTCCCAAGTTGAGAGTATGGCAATGGCATATCCTTTCTCTGTGTGTGTGCTTCTTTGAATTGCTCCATGGTTGTTCTTTGACTTGTTGTTTGGTTGTCGATCATATGCCTCGGTCACGTCTCACATATTAGCCATTTAGGCTTGGCCGAAGCCTTAACTCACTCAGACTTCAGGCCCTAATATGAGACTATTTAAAAAGGGGGGAAAATAATTAAAATACCTCAAACTTTGAAGGTGTGTGAAATGAACACCCCAAACTTGCATATGTAATTTAAATACCCCGAACTTTATATAAAAAGTTATTTTAGCACCATGCTCAAGTATTATATCTTTCCAAAATGTAAACTTATGATGTTAATGACATAATTTAAAATATTTTAGAATTCATGAAGACACAATTAGCATTCTAAATTTCCATTGCAAAATAAATAATGTTACCCCCAATCTATATAATTGCAACACTTTTAATTTTCTATGTTAAATTATGCAATTAACCCCATAAATTTACATTTTTTGAAAAAAATAATACATGAAAATGGTGTGAAAATAACTTTTTATACAAAGTTTGGAGTATTTAAATTACATATGCAAGTTTGGGGTGTTTACCTCACACCCCTTCAAAGTTTAGGGTATTTTTATTATTTTTCCCTCAAAAAAAACTGTCTAAATTAGGGCCCAACTGTGGCGCAAATGGTGCAGGTGATGGCTCAGGAATGGCAACTCCACAGGTAACCTCATTGCCAGGGCCTGGGATTGTGGATAAGACCACTTAAAACGCCAATGAAAACAAATGGTGATTACCATTTGCGCCATTGACTACTCTGTATAGGACTCAAAATTTGTAAACTCTTAATATGAGACACATACAAACTCTCCGCCCAAACCAGGCTAGATAGTTTAAGGGTGAATTTAGAGGCTAAACTGACCCTAGATGGGCCACAATATATTATGAGGTGCCAAATAAACAAACAAACCATTAAACCACTTCCAGCCTTATATCCATTTTTGTTAGAATTGCTGCCTAACCTGTGAAATAAATGTTCTCAACTTGTTGTAGCTTCACGATATATACCGCATGTTAGATTGTCAAGCAGGTAAAATCACACCTAGATTGCAAGATTGTACGACTTTTTGTGAACTGTACACGTTGAGTATTTTGCAACACAACAACTTACGTGCGAGAAGATAACTCACTGAGATGTCTGTTATAAATCAAAGCCTCTTCTAAATCATCCAACAACAATAACATCCAAACCTTAGTCCCAAAACATTTAGGGTCGGCTAACATGAATTGATACTAGATATCGGAGGCAAAAAGAAAAGAAAGATAAGGTATGATAAAAAAAGGAAAAAAAAAAGATAAGATAAAGACCCTTCTAAATCATCCATACTAATATTTTTAATTTTTTTACTTGTTTGGAACCCTTCTTATGAAACTCTAGGGTTTAGAAACACTAGGGTCTAGCCCATTAAACTTAGGACCGCTGTTTTAATGTGAAAGCAGTACACTGGCCTTTAGAAAATGAAGTTGGAAGGTATGAGTTACTTATAAATGAGTCATATTATTGGTTAATGGTTATTACTGATGCAACACTGTTCTTCAAAATCTTGTTTAGTTATCACTTTCCCATAACTTTACCTAATAAAATGCTACACAAATGAAAGAAAGTTCAAATACAGAGTTGCAATTGAAGAATCTACTAATGAGGGAAAGACAAATACATGGCAGACTGGAAAAAGCAAAAGAAACAAGAGAAAAGTACTAGGAGTATGACCAAAACAAGTTGTGGTTCCTAAAATATGACTCCACATGTTTTTATTCTTAAACTCATGGTGTTTTGCATGTATGGTATGTTTTTTGGTGCTCCTTTTTCTTCCTCCAATTAAATTATTACTCATTTATAACCACGTTTCACTATGTCATTCATATATTAGGAATCTATGAATATTAGTCACATAAATTTCCAAAACAACAATGCATGCAGGAAAAAACTGAATATCATTGAAAGTCACCACACACACCCTATCTGAATCTTGCAAATCAAAAGATCTTGAAAACCAAACAGATGACATGCAGATGACATGAAAATCAAACGATCTTGAAAATCAAAAGATCTTGATGTAAAAATGCATACCAAGTTCCTGATGAAAAAATGTGCTTATGTAGAATAAAGGAGGAGGTTGCTGTGGTAGGTGTGTGACGGCCAACAGTACCACCTAGTCACATCACATGACATGAATCGAAATATGAATAATCAGAATTCAGAATTGATATGTGTCTTCTTGGATTGGATGAGAGTATGGCTTTGGAGAGAGCAAAGTGGAGGGCGCACATCCGTGTGGACGATTAATGTCTTTTCTACCTTTCCTCTCTTTTTTCTTTTATCGTTTATCTTCTTTATCTTTTTATCTTATGTTATTTTTTTCTTCTAGCTTTTTTATGCTCTTTTATTTTTTATTTTTTATCTTTCTTATATTCTTGTGTTATTGTTATCTTATATTTATTTATCTTTATTTTATTCGTTTTATCTTACTTTTTTCTTCCCTTTCTTGTCCGTCTTCTCTGTTTGGCATCTATTTCATAGATCGATTCATGTTAGCCGACCCCAATTTCTTTTGGGATTAAGGCTTGGATGTTGTTGTTGTTGTATGTAGAATCAGAAACAAAATTTAATAATTGCGGAACAAATTGACCACAGCCAAATTAACTCAAAGCAGAGTTCATAGAATAAAACACATTAAGTACTGCGGATAGAACGGTGACACTAACTATGATGTAGATCACCGCATACCTTCGTGTGATTATGGTCAGAGGCAGCAAGAACCATTGCTTGCGATTTAATACCCCTCATGGTTACTGGCTTGAGGTTGCATAGAACACAGACTTTACGATTCTGACAAAGATATCACTTTGAAATGAATTTCTGTAAATGTGGTTGAAATAGCAAGTGCAGAAGAAGTAAGAAAAACCTGCATCTCTTCAAGTGGAATGTATTTGACCAAGCCACTAACAACAGTCCTTGGCTGTGCTTCACCAACATCAATCTCTTCTACGTATAAAGAATCAGCATCAGGGTGCTTTTGGGCTTTCTTGATAAGACCAACACGGATATCTAGTCTGCCAATGGACACTTCTAGTTCACCAGAGGCAGGCAATGTGGCCTTGAATTTGGCTTCAGCTGATTTTGTTGATCTTACCTTCTTCGTTTTTTCATCTTAAAAAGAAAGCAGCAATACAAATAGAAAGTTTATAATCTTGCCTTTGTTTAGCAATAGCCACTCATAAGAAACTCAAATGAGTTGCTACATATATCTAACTATAGAAGATGTTAAAGGCGGGCATGGTTGTGGAAACTAGCTGCAGATCAGTGCCCAGATCACTTAGCCTGTGTCGAGGAGCCATAACCTTATAATCCCTCTGTTCCAAAATAACCTTCTATCCTTAAATATTTTCAGCATTAAATGCATCTTTTATTTCAAGGCACAAAAGCATTTAATGTTTGGAGACTTCATATGGGCTAATTTGGGAGATTTGTATAATTATAAAATTTATTGGCACAGAAATATTACATCAATAACTTATTATCAAGGTTAAGAGTCTATTATATAGACTTTACATGAGAGAGTCCTAGTCAAAGCAATAAAAAAAGATCACTATCAAATGATACCAAACTCCTAATAATACTCGATCACATTTGATAGAGTCCTAGTAATACTTTCTCCATTCCCACTAAAGCTGAACTGTTCAGGTTGTATAATCCAAGTGATGGAAATCAAGTAGGCTTAGAGAGAAAACGTACTGAAATTTGCCGCGTAAAACAAATCTCAAAGTGAAAATGTCTTTCTACATCAGGAGTAATTATAGTAATTAGATAACTAGGAGACTAAGCTCTCTTAGAGCCAATGAAAAGAGTACGTGTGTCCTTTGGTATCTTGGGGATCGCGCCTAAGTGAAGTAAGCATGATGCTGGCGATGGGAAGTATCGTTAAAAGCCCTGTGGTGCAGTCCTGGGTTGCCAGATTTCGACTAAGTGTAGAATCGGTGACGGAGGCCAAGGCAGAAGCAGGTTCCTTCAGTCTCGTCCTGAAGAGTCGCAAAGGCTGAGGCAGAAGCTAGTTTCCTCAGCCTCGTCCATCTAGCGCAACCCGATCTGCACGGGCTTATTAGCTGGAATATACCAAGCGTTAAATCTACCCCGGCCTCGACTGAGTGCTTTGGCCTCGTCAGTTGAGCCAATTAGGCTTCTTCTGTGGATTGCTTCTTTGGGCCATGAGATATTTGACAATTTACGACATCATGAGTCCTCACTCCTTGAGGCGAGAACTCTTAGAGGTGAGAGGGGATAATACAAATGTCTATGATGTTGTGGCCATCGTGTGCGCTTCCTTGGCCAGGAATACTTCCACCCTTGCTCGCGATGAGGTGATGCTTTGTTAAAAACTCCACCAGGAAAAAACTAAGCGGGAAAAAGTGGGAAAAAATCCTAGTGAAGGAAAAAGAGTACAACCGACCTTGAAACGGGTTCAGGAATGGAGAGTACTCTCCTGCCATCATGAATGCTATTTGGGGATCAATGGATCATGGGTTGGATGAGTGAAATCTCTTTCCTGCATATTACTTGTAACCTGCTTTGCCCAAGACTGAGGGTCAGTATATTGTATATGATTTCCCAGGTTTCAGGTGACCTGTCAAGCGAGTGAATTTCTGAGTTGGATTGGTGCTTCTGAGTAGATTTTTCGGAGTCTGGATATTTCTGAGTTGTGAAATCAGGCTGAGCCGAGGTGAACTCCTAGAACCTGTACAGATTTCTGAGTCCTCCATTCACCGGTCCACTGCTTTTTAAGCTCAAATTCAGAAGATCTTTGACACTTGGCAAAATTTTGGGGGCTTTCAGAATATAACCATTTTTTATTGTGTTGGGAACTGTTGTGACCTAATGCGCCATCCAATCACGAGAGTCAGACCTTTGGATTTCTAACAAGCATGGCGGCTGGACAATTCCCTGCTTGACACGTGTTTATGGTTGCTGGGATTCAGATCACAGCTGCTTGACGTCAGTCATTGCTGCTAGTGGATTTGCATGTGTGCCTGGCCGATTACCCAAAGGCCCAATACCGTATATAAGGCTAAGGCATGTTGCTCCTTAGCCTTTACGCTTCCAATACTTACGAACTCTTGCATTTCGAAATATTTGTTGTTGTCTGCTGCTTGTTACTGTAGTGTTCATGTTTGTCTTCTCTGCTCGTAGCCTCTCATCTTCAGTTTTCCAAGATAGTATATCTCTATTGTTTCTTGTTTGATTTCTATTCTCAAATTACTGGGTTTCTTTCCCAAGGGTTTCGTCACTTTGGACAAGCCCTGATGCATGAAATAGAGTAGGATTGGCCTTGAGTTAAAATCTTGACCCTCAGAATGTTTGTTAGGTGAGGACACAGGCTTCAATTTTGTCATTTTGCCTTCTAGAAGCCCAAAGACTGATTTTTCAGTCAAATTTCTAGGCGGTTTCTCTTGATGGTCATCGTATTCTCCATGGTGTTCATCAAGAATGGCCGTTAAGCCCATTTTTTTTGTCCCCTGCCTTCAATTTTGTGTATACAACCTCATTATCCCAGTTTTCTGACCTTCATTCTTTTCTCCCTTAGACTTTTATCATGTCTCCTGCATCCTCTGCTTATATGGTTGCTCGCTGAGAGGACTCGAGGAGGATCTACCAATCGGCTATGATGACGAGCAACCAGAGAGGGATGCTGGTCCTGCCAACTCTGATGTGCCACTCTGTGCACAAGCTGAGCCTTCTAATAGTTGGCCTCAGAAGAAGAGGACCCCTGCTAACAAGAACTATAGAGAGGTGGAGGCCTGGGCCCATCCAGCTAGTGTCTATATTCTGTGAGCTTTCCAGCAAGGATTGACCTCGGGCTCATTTACTGGCCCGTCCCGATGTTGACATCATGCATCTGCAGGCAACTATGAACATCATCGTCTCTCCTTCGGCCTACTCCGGTGTGCATCTCCAAGAGCTCGAGCTCGGCTTCAAGTTTCCACTGCAGCCACTCATAGTGAAGTATTTCAGCTAGGTCGCCCTCCTGCTGTGCAAAATGCCCCCCGGCGGGCTACATCATGGTCGGGTACCTGCTCCAGTGCAAGGAGGCCAAAGTACCGGCGAGTGTTGAGCTCCTTTGATACATGTATAACACTAGCAAAAGTGGGAGCAACGATTCCTCATCATAAACCATGATCTCTCAAGTCGGCCAGAGGCAGCAGAGAGGGGCAGCTACAGGATGATGGTGAGATTCTCTGTAGTAGGGCGGCGGTGGTGGAAGGATGCGCGACAGCAGCGGCATATGGTGCACACTAGGAGGCAGCGGCAACATCTGGTGGGCTGTTGGAGGCAGCGATGTCGACGGGATTCGTGGAGTAGGGAGGCGGCAACTGCTTGTGGTTGACCGAAGAGAGAATAAATGGGGCTGAAGTCTGATTGTCTGAAGAGCTCCTGGTTGTCCGTCCACAGCAGGAGAGCAGATTGAAGGGGCAGGTTATATCAAGAGGGATAGATGTGTCTTTCATTATTATTTAATACCTTTTTTGTCCTATTTTAAATGCGGTCGTATATTTGTCCAATCCAAACTCATTAGTAATATTGGTGTCATTTTCTAAAAAGAATATTAGCTAATGATAATTAATTTTGGGCAGGAGGGAGTAATATATACTTCCTTTTACCAATTTCCTCCTAAAACATTTTCTAACTTTCCAAGATTAGCTTCCCAAGAAAACAATGCCACTTTCTCTTCAAGGAAAAAAAGTATGGCTCATATTATTTCCCTCTTCTAAATTATTCCCAACCGAATAGTTTTATTTTCTTAATCTACGAACTACTCAAAGATGGCAACCCTTTATTGGAGAAATGTTAACACATAGACATGAAATACTATAGTAATTTATGTCCACTATTTTAATTAAAATACCAAAAAAGTGGAGCAAATACTGATGAAATGTTAGTTTAAAATAGAGGGCACTTGTCAGCCTGAGGCCTAAAAAAGGTGTTTTTCACCTTCTGGCTTCAGCATCAGGGATGTAAATCAAGCAAGTTCTTTATAGGTTATAAACAAATAAAGGATATGCCAAATTGACATACACCTATGAAGTGTTCAAATTTACAAATGACAATCCAAATCCAATTTGGTGAATGGGAGGGATTAGAAGGCATGGTTGTATGTTAGAACACAGGTATTTGATTCACAGAACAATATAGAATTCAAGAGAAATTGTAGAAGAACAGATAGAAAGTGTTATTCAATAGGGAAATCAGTTCACAAACAATACAATTCCCCAGGACAATTCGAGATGCCCAGTCTTCCAGCCTAATCTCAACAGAATACTTGCCTCCTCATTTGCCTACCCTCCCTTTCTATTTATAGTACAAGCCCACTTATTATTATCTACAATAATAGGCCCATTATTCCTGATTTACTAAATGGCCCAGAATCTTCACTTATACACTATTACACTCTTTAATACTATTCTATTATTCTTATTAGTATTATTGTCCACATTCCTATCATTGTAATAATGTAATCCAACACAAGGGAACTCAAATGATAAACATAACTAAGGGTTAACCTTGACTTCACACAACAATACCTTTTGAAACAAACTAAGTGAGTGAACATTGAAGGTTCATGAGTTTATCCATGCAAAACTAACTCAATAAAAGAATGCTATAAGAGGGAAATATAAGACTACCTGAAATTTTAGCTTTATTTAATTGTTCGGTAATCCTCTTTTCTTCCTCTTCTAACTTCAAGGTCCTGTCAGCTTGACTTCCTGCAAACTTCTCTCTGTAGAATTCAACTTCTTCATCTTTCTACAAATTAAGCAAAGTCATTACTTACCAGAATAGAACTACAGCAGAAAATATAGAAAGAGACTCACTGACAATGCCAAATCCGCATACCAACTCTTTGAATAACGGTGTAGGTGTTCCAATTTTGTGACCAGCAGGTAAAATATTCCAGGGTTTTTTAGCCCTTTCAATGACACCATTTTCAGCAGCAAGTGAAAGCATGGTTTCAGGCAAATTTAATTGCTTACATACCTATGGGGAAGATGATGAAAAGGCCATAACATACCACATAAGTATAGAGCTTGCAAAAGTTAGTCTTCCAAATCAATAAGAGAGGACATTAATTACCTCACGTGAAAAGGAAGGCATAAAAGGCTCTAAAAGGCAAGCAAGGAGATACACTAGACCAGCAGCAGTTTTCATAACTATTGAACATGCACGCCTGTCTTCCTTGTAAAGCTTCCAAAATTGGGTTTCCTAGAATAAAAGGTGAGCATAAAAGGTGAGCATCCTTAATTATCAAGATAGCTATAAGTGCCAAACTAATGTTGATGATGCAAGCAGTATTAGTAATTTAATAAAGTCAGATTGCTATCGAAAATCCCCAAAAAAACATTCTTAAGTCAAACAAGAGAATGGGTCAATAAAAAAGATGATGAGAAAAATGTTCAGAAACGTACTTGCAGGTAAGCATTTCCTTCACCAGAAAGAGACATGGCAATTTTCAAACCTTGCTTCAATTTCACCTATATCATTAAATAGCTAAGGTATTACTCAGAAAAATAAACAAAAGGAAAAAAAACTCTAATGCCTGATCAATCACCTTTTCCATGGCTTCAATATATTGTTCCACATAGTTTCCAGCCATTTCTCCCAAAGCATTAGTTAAGGGATGAGATACAACACCTTCAGTATCAGGAATTATGGAACCATATCCAGAAGCTGTTCCACATTGTGAGTGAAAGAATAATAAATTTGAAAGATATATTATGAAAGTGAAACTAGTACAGCATGACTGTTCTGGTTTTCCACTTTATAAGATAAACAGCCTGAGGTCGACAGAATTGTAGAATGATATATTCAAAGATATGCAGAAGTATCATTTGATAACAACAAAATAACTGAGAAATTGCGATCCAAGAAAAATTAAGATTGGAAAAACATAAAAGACAATCACAATGACATGTCAAAAAAAGGAAAACACGTATTTCAAAAAATAAAGCAAGTTAAACTTCAAAACCTTGACACAAAGAAGATAAAATACTTCCAATGACACCTAACCTGACCAAAAACAAATGGTAGATTACTAACCAGAATCTTTTGCAATAAAACTCAAGACACGATTGATGTAGTTCCCAAGATTGCTAAGTAATTCGCTATTTAACTTTGCCTGTAAATCCGTCCATGTAAATAATGTGTCTGATACCTAAAAGAAGGTAAACTTGTCAGTGCTAAGTACAAGTTACTGACTGTTAAGCGGGTATTCGTCCCAGATTTTGTATTCATGTACTATGGTGAATTTTTGGTGAATTACACAAACAGGTCAATAAAGCATTTCTTTCCCACTAGATGTATTTTTGGTTAAGCGGGTATTCGTACTAGATGTATTTTTGGTGAATTACACAAACAGGTCAATAAAGCATTTCTTTCCCCTACACATACTATGTCATTCTGCATTTGGAACTCTAGCATTTAAAAAACATAAGTTCTTGTACAGTGTCTCTGCACTTCAAGTCCATAAACCCAAGCCTTTCATTCCAAGATCTCAGGAATCTGCTAATTGCTTCATGAAATTTCAATTGATGGGTCTCAATAGTCAAAAGTGACAAAGAGCTCAATTGAAGCGCATGGTGAGCACAATAGGATTTGCAAGTCGAAACTCATTTTCCATATGACTCGAAAATGCTATCAAGGATAAGACCCTGACGCAATTGTCTTTCATTTTTGTAGCCTCTGCAAAAAAACAGTTCAGAGACTCCAGCTCCCATCACCACCTGACACTGGTGACCTCCTCAGATCTACTACATCATCCAGCTGCCACTACATGAAAAGGTAGATTACAAAATTCTTTTTTTATCTATAAATATAGAAGCTCCTACTCTAGGAGATGCTTTTACACTGGCTCATCTAGTTATCTATTGTCCTGTTCCATACTGATCATCAACTTGAACTGAGGCTATGGCGGCTTTTTTTGTCTTCCCCACTCTGCTGAATGTCTCTCTGTTTGTTCAAGATGTTTTTCTCTCTGTTCCATGGGGCTAATCTCTTTGTACTTAAACTGTAAGGTGTAATTCTTGTTATTAGTATTCAGAGATTTGGCTTTTGCACCCCATGTTTACATCAAATTTGAGCATTGTGCCCATATTTTGAAGTCCTTGAGTTAGCACTTAGCACCCCCACCAACGTTATGTTTTTTATTAAAAACAGTTACTAGTAGGCTGCAAAGTCTAACTTTGATGTAAACATGGGGTGCAACTTTCTATATTTGTTGGCTATGATAAACGAGTGCATATCTAACAGGGGCAGCACGGTGCACGAAGGCATCCCGCAAGGCGAGGGTCCGGGGAAGGGTCCCACCACAAGGGCAGCCCGGTGCACGAAGGCATCTCGCAAGACGAGAGTCCAGGGAAGGGTCCCACCACAAGGCTGGAGCAAGGCAGCAAGCCTTTCCTGTCAAATTTTGACAAGAGGTCGCTCCCAAGATTTGAAATTGTGCACCAAGGCTCCCCCTTCATATCTAACATTTCAAAATCTTTTTAATTCTGAACAATATAACATAACGGTGGGCTGCAAGCTCAAAGAAATTAAAGCATAGAGTACAAAGTCTAAATTTGACGTAAACATGGGATGAATAACTAATTTTACCTTAGTATGATAAAGTTATTTAACTTGTTTGTGTCTTAAACTATTAATAAGTAGTACCCCCAACAATTAGGCAACTGCATTTGTTGGTGACAATTCGGTTTCTTGGAAGAGTAAGAAACAGATGATAGAGACCAGGGTTAGAGTGGTCGAGCATATGAAACTGTAACGAATAACCAAGCAACCATGCATCATACATGTTGCCTCAAATCTGAAGTTTCAAGAATTCCCTCAACAAATTCAAGTCTAAATGTGGTTTTGTTTGAGAGAAGTTCAAATGGCCATTGATTCCATCAAATGTCAGATGGCAGTTTTGTTTTACTAAGAAGCCTCGTGGTCCTGGGAAGTGTCACCATTGAAAGCAGCTAGGCATAATTGGTATTTAAGTTCCAATTCAGGGAGTTTATAGCATGTATCTTTCAGGTATCCAGTGATCATGCAAATATCTTTAGAAGCAAGACTACATAGATGCACACATACAAAGTCTTACTTGCCTAGAGAAAAATATATGGATCTAACCAAAAGAAATTAATGTGAAACAATAAGATATCACCTCTGGCCGGTTTGCTAGCAAGTAGTATCTCCATACTTCCACAGGAATAGTTGTATCCTTTACATCATTTCCAAAGACTCCAACACCTTTACTTTTTGAAAACTTCCCTACATAGTGATAATGCATGGAAAGGGACAACAGAAGCCGAGTCAAGGAGATAATCAACAGCAAGCATATTATTATGAGATCTCTCTTAAGTACACGCTTTAGCATTGTGAAACATATCAACCACATAACAAAAAGAAGCTTTGCTGACCTGCTTCATAGTTCAAGTATTCTGTGACACTGATTGTTTTCATAAAAGTCCAGTTTTCACCAGTTCCAAGTAGCGTAGATGGGAAAATTACCTGGAATATATTTATCAACTAGTCAATGCAAAGTTTGAATCCATAGTAGCACATTCATTTGATCTAACCTTACAAAGAGAAACACATTAAGGAACAAGGATAAAACATTATTTACGATTGTATAGTACTCAAGAATAAGTAAAAATTTGATTGCAAAGCATCTAACTTCTAGCTGATTCATGAATCACATCATATATTATACCCCTCTGTCTAAATAATTCTCTTCACTGTTTTGAGATTTCCAAAAAAAAATCTGTCATCAGCCACATATTTTAATAATATTTATGCGGTTACTACCAAAACTTTCAATGAGTTGAAATGCAAAAAAACAGTAACCAGTACATTAGTGATGGGGGAAATTTTGGATTATACCCATTCAGTTATATCCACGTAGTTATTTCTAATAAATACATGTCGCAGGCACAATATCTTAGATATATTATGAAGGATGCATTTTCAAACAAGACAAGCACGCAATTTGAGGTCGCCAAATTAGTGTAGTTATGGCGGGGTTTCGCGGCACGGTGTCACCAGACCGTCATGGCGATATGGCGCCTGCCGTGGCAGCATCACGGTGATACATCAACATAAATGCAGTATTAAACGCATAATACATTAATATGGTTTATATACTACATGTAACACTTGTAGAAATCAAGTCATTCATGAAGTTTACTACTACCTCCTTCCCCTTAAGATTGGGACAACAGGGAGTGGTTCGGTTATTAAGAAAAGTGAGATTGTGTGGTTGGTATTGAATTGATAAAGTGTGAATAAAGTAAGAATGAATTGTAACCACCCAAATATTACCAAATATGGTATGAGACAAACTTAATGGGACGGACGAAAAAGAAAAAATGAGACAAAGATAGGGGGACGGAGGGAGTTTAACTATGCAAACTCTCACAACATTAATGAAATACAAAATACGTACTAATTACTAATAGTATTTACTAATTACTAATCAAAGCAAAATTGTTTTATAAAAATAAAGCAAATGATGAAGACACTGTTGTACTGAACAAAACTAACCACAGAGGAACAAGAGGAACAGCGTGTGAGGAAGGTCGAAAAAAGAAGAAGAAAAGTTCAAACGGGGAATGGGACATCACATGAGAGGACGACAATGCTCTAGATGGTGATGAGCGGGACGATGTCGACACTCGAACCGATGGGAGATGGGGGCAACTGAGATGATTAGGGATGGCAAAGGGGCAGATCGGGCACGGTTTTATATATAACCGTAATCGCCCCGTTGGGTAATTTCCCTGCCCTGTAACCGCCCCATTACCCTACGGGTAATTTTTACCCAAACCATAACCGCCCCAACGGGTAACGGGTAAAACTTCGGGTAACCGCTGGTAACCGCTTTATTAATTGAGTCATTAAATTTTGATATAAAAAATAATATTTTAAAAGGCGAAAAATGACATCATCTAGACCACTCTACACTTCAGATGCCACTTTAAGATTCGTATATCTACAAGACGAGAAAGGAAGCGACTTAAATTAATTTGAACCTAAAAATACTTGATATAAAAAATAATTAATCACGAAAAAAATATTGTAATAATCAAATAAGACTATTAAAATCTATTATGAACTTTCATTTATACATTATAGTTAGTACATCTATTATCTATACATACACAATGGTAAGAAAAAAAATCGCATCTTTTAATAGTTGTGAGACAAATAATACATAAAAATATAATAAAAATATAACATAACTACAAATAAACGGGGCGGGTATGGGGCAGGTAATGGGGCGGGCATATATAAAACCGTAACCGCCCCATTACCCGTAAAAACAAAACGGGCATTCCCCGTCCCATACCCGTTACCCGATCAATGCGGTTTTCCCCATTTTGACTGGGGCGGTTCGATGCGGGTATCCATCGGTTCAGTCACAATTGCCATCTCTAGAGATGATGGTGGATGGTGACGAACGCGACGATGGCGACGAACGAGAGGATGGCGGATAGAGACGATGGTGTTGCCAAAAGACATACGGCGTCAAGACTCCATGGCGAGCATGATTGAGCACCACGACACCATGGCGTTGCCATGGCGAAGCCATAACAACTATGTGCCAAACGCATGCTATATTGCTATACCTCAGGGCACCACTAAAATTATTTTTCTTAAACAAGTAATACGGGCATGCCTAGAGTGGCTATTCTAGTGGGGTGAGAGATATTGTTTATTATTATTAGTTTCATATTACAAATCAGTATGGTTAGTATTTAGTAATACTTATACTAATATTAGTTTCCTATTATTAGAATTATTTAATATTTAATAGTATTCTATCTTAACTAATACTATTATATCAATATTATAATGGTTACTGGGACTCTAATAGAAAACCTTGCTAATTTAGACTCTTGGGGTTAGTATAAATAGAGGGTTTTATTCATTAATAAGATTATCAATAATTTTGGAATTGATTCATGCGTGGTTTAGGCAAGGCCTACTAAAAATTCCCTAATCGGCCAATTGCAAGAAAGAAAACCTTCTCTGCCAAGCACAAGAAGTTCTTTATCTTAGCTTTATTCTTCTTCTTCTTCTTTGAGTCGCCACCATGCTCATAACAATAAGTTGGTCAGAGGGGCTGCCTTAAATCTCGTAAGCTTTCAAAAGTAGGAGGTAAAATCATGCCAACCCCAAGAACCCATGTAGGCCAGTGAGCTTAGTCCTTTGATACTTGGACTTTTATTGCCTTTGCCAATACCACCTTATGGTTAATAGAACTCATGTCCAACAGACAAGCATGGATGTCGCAAAAAAATCCAAATATTTTGTTCATTAGAACTTGGTTCGTGGATGGTGTGTTAGAGAGGTAGAAAGGCATTACACAATCAAGAACTCTTAATGCCATGATGTGTGCTGAAAATTATCATCTGCACATTCTCTGGGTGCAATCTAATCAGATAGGCTGAAGCGTAAATCCAGTAATGACAGAAACTGCTCATTGAAGTTCATCTAGTAATAGCGACATATTATGCTGGACAATCCTGTTATTGAGCTTCTTGTATCATTGCTTCTCTATCTCATCCTCTATAAGCTGGGAGTATGTACAGGGTTGTACCACTACCGGATTCGGTCCATGGACAGTGGTCACCCAGCCTTTCCGTAGGCAGTCAAAACTAGGGTTCGGTCCAGGTCCAAAAAGTTACTGAACTGACTAATGGTTACTAAGCCCAATTAGTTTGGTTTAATTCTGAGCTGTCTAATCCCAATAACTTATTGCACCAAGCCCAATTAGTTTGGTTTGTAAGTGAAAGGTTACTGAATGCCTCTTAGAAACTTATATAGAAATGTTTGAAGGAGGAACACCTCCCTTCTTCCATGTGGAATAACATGTTCTGGAAACACTATTGAAAGTTTAAAAATAAAAGTCGGACCTGGAAATCGAACTCGACACATCAAAGAAAATCTAATAAACTCCACCTCCGTCTCACCAACATGCCTGTTGCATACAATTCGAAGTTAAAACTATAAACCAATTATCCCTTTTCTACACAGCATTATTGACTACCAATCTACCATGATAATGATAATTAATAATTATTATTCATATTATTATTAATGTAAATTTCTGGTTCGGTTCAGTTCAAAACCGACTTTTTGAGAACATGAACCAAATTCAAATCATGTTTTTACGGGTCCCGATTTTCAGGTCCCAAATCACATTGGTTCGATTCAGTTTGGTTTCTTTCAATTGGGTTTTCTTACCAAAATGCCAGCCCTAGTCAAAACCTATGGAAAAACAACATCAAAGCTTTGTAACAATCCTCTCAAGGTTGATGCAGTTATGTAGGTCGAAGGGTGTGCAGAGTTGTATGCTGCTCAAAAGTACTAATGCAAGGGACAATCTTACATGCACATCCACATCCATGCGTGCACATTAAGAATTAACGCTTTCACATGACAGACAAAAAAGAGAGTTATTAAAGCTCCCTCTATTATTCATACCAAACCTTAGATGAAGCCGGAGAGGGAGGTCATTGTATCTGCCTTTTTGTTTTTCATGTTTTTTCTCCTACAGATAGTCTCTAATAACTTAATAAGGTACAAAAACAACATCCAACTTTATTTCCAAAAGAGTTTGAGGTCGGCTAACATGAATCGACATTATCTGAGTTAAAAACATTAGATAGAGAAAGAGGGAGACCTCCAAAACAAGATCAATCTACTGTTTGGTTGTCATCCAACACACGTAGTATTTTATGATTCACTGCCACTCTACTCCATATCTGTCTAGGTCCCTCCCTCACTCTCCTCCTATCCTCACCTCTCAATATGTCTACCATGTCCATAATCGCAACCGAGACTCACATTTTATCTTCAATAGGTGTTACTCCCACCTTTATTCTGATTGTCTCATTCCTCAAGCAGTTTTTCCTAGTATGCTTGCACATCCAAGACAACATACGCATCTCTGATCATTTGAAAGTGACATTGTTTCACCACCCAACACTCTATGTCATACAATAATACATGTCTAATTGTTGTTCGATAAAACTTACCCTTTAGACTAAGATGGCACACCACATCACATAGAAGTCTTGAAGAGTTGAAGCACTCTTCCATTTTATCCACACCGCTACAACTATAGGGATATGTCTCCATACAATTCACCGTCCTTTTAAAAGATGAGTAACCAGGAGCTTGGTACCATCTAAGATAATCTCATTATGACTATTGTTTCTACCACCACGGCACCACTAAATTCACACTTCATATACTCAGTCTTGCTTTGACTCGGTCTTGCTTTGACTCAGTCTTGCTTCGACTCAGTCCGACACTCGATATATAATTCCAACTTCGCTTAAAGAACTTATCTAGTCTCATCGATAAATACAATATCACTTGCGCACCATTGTATATCTTTTCGTCTTATCTGATCCCGTCCTCTCTACACTAGTACGAAATGATGTTGATGTAGTTAGGTGATATGCCTTTTCCAGCTAATGTCCAAGACTTCTCAAAGCACCCATTATACGCTTCTTCTAAGTCAATGAATACCACATGCAGGTTCTTGTTCTTTTCTCTATACTTCTCCACAAGTTTCCTAAAAAGGTTAATTGGTTTGGTTGTTGAGCGACCGACATAAAACCAAACTAGTCCTTAAAAATCTTCACACCTTTTTGTGGTTAGCTGAATCACTCGCTCCCGGAGTTGCATGGTATGGCTCATATGCTTAATCTCTCAATAGTTGACTTATTTTGTAAATCGTCTTTATTCTTAATTTTTTTTTCATTTACCCCAGTGCCGCAAAGGCACAGAGAGATGTACGCAATCTTACCCCTGTTCTAAAGCACAGAGAGACTGTTTCCGGATGACCCATGGTGAAAATCCCGTTCAAAATTGCATGGATTGGCCGTTGTTTCATAACAAAGAAGCGCAGACAGTTTAGTGAGCCATTTTGCTTTATTCCATCATAATCTCAAGCCAAAAAATAATGAATTTTTGGCTCCATTGCAAATGATGGAAAAGTCTTTATTCTTAAATAAGTGAACAAAAATAAGTGAATAAGAGAACTCTTCCGCCAACTCGTTGGCATTTTGTTATGTCTCCAAATCTTGTTGATGAAAGTTGGTAGTCACTCGACGCCTCTATCTCCCAAACATGTTCAAACCTTGATTGAATCATCGTAAATCTAAATTAGAATATTAGGTTTTTCTTTTTGGGTTTTCTTTGTTAAGGAATCATTTTCAAATAGTATATTCTGGTTTTGACCTGCTACTTACTTCTACCCATGTTCCTTAAAACCTCTTTAAATTTTCTCCGTTGAGTCCTTATTACACAATCCTGATTTACCAGACAATCTGCTACAGTAAGATCACCACTAAACAATTTGTCAACGTAAGACCTCTACCTCACTCTTGTTTCTTCATCCCTAATTAGTACCCTTTGAATGACATCCTTCGCACACGTAACTTTCTTGATATCTACTTAAGTACAAAACTACAAATGCATCAAATATATTCTTATTGAAGTTCCATGTTTTATTCATATCATGTTTTACATTAAACTTAGGGAGGGAGATCATTTGTCTGCCTTTTTGTTTTTGTTTTAAATATTTTGTTTTCGACCGATAGATAGTTCTCTACTAAAGTATGAATGCATCAAATATATTCGCAGAAGTACAGAACCACTGGCTATTACCAATGTTATAGAAGGAACTAGGCAAGCGGATGAGGGATGCCACCATCACTTTGGAGTATCATATATGGAGGTTCAAGTGAGAACCCATTTTATGATAAGCCCTACTCCCTCCATCCCGAAAAGATTTGCCAAATTGACTTTTCTTGGTCAATGTCAATCAACTTTGACCAATGATATTTTTTAATACGAAATTATTTTGAATATGAAAATTATATCAAAACGTTCCTCATTCAAAATATTTTCATAAAAGTATAAAATTTATAAATTATATATAAATATAATAATTAAAATCATTGACCAAAGTTTGTCATTATTGACCTAGAAAAGTCAATATGGCGAACCTTTTCGGGACGAAGGTAGTATATCTTAATTAAGCACATAAGTACAACAAGTACTGCAAGAGCACTGCTACAAAGAGCAGAGAACAATTAACACATTATTACCAGTGAATGTGCATGAAAATCATAGACAATCTTACTTATAAAAACAGAAACATATAATTGTAAGCACTTCAAAATCATACACCCACCATCACTGGCTATTACCAGTGTTATAGAAGGAGCTAGGCAAGCGGATGAGGGATGCCACCGCCACTTTGGAGCATCATATATGGAGGTTCAAGTGAGAACCCATTTATTATAAGCACTTTATCTTAAATAAGCACACAAGTACAACAAGTACTGCAAGAGCACTGCTACAAAGAGCAGAGAAACATTAACACATTATTACCAGTGAAGGTGCATGAAAATAATTGACAATCTTACTTATAAAACAGAAACATATAATTGTAAGCACTTCAAAATCATACACCCACCACTCTCGATTAGCCACAAAATCTATCATTGTTAGACCACAAAACATAATAAAAAGGTTTCCAAGAATTTAATTACTTACTGTATGAAAAGGCACATTGTCCTTGCCCATAAATTGGTATAGCTCAACATTCTCAGGATTCTTCCACCATTTCTCCCATTCGGCTGTGTAGCATGAAGTGATTGACACATACCCAATTGGTGCATCAAACCATACATAGAAAACCTGTAAGCAAAATAGAAAATACAACAAAAACCAAGCCTTAGTCCCAAAACCTGTAAGAAAATATTCAGGCAAGTTTAAAAAAGAAAGAAATTATAAGTACATTCAGGATCTACAATTCAAACAATGCATATGATGGTAGGTATACTAGCATGTGCCTCATCAATATTTAATAAGTGCAACATTGTGTAGTTCAGAGGCCTCACAGATAAATAGAGTACAAAATGGGGGTAAAATTATATCCAACTACTTATTAAATATAACAAAAAAAAATCAGTAGAACTTAAAAGGCTTTACAGCTAACCTTGTCTTTGTACTTCTCATGTGGAACTGGAACCCCCCATTTCAAATCTCTAGTGATACACCTTGGCTTTAGTCCTTCTCTTAGCCATGCACGTGTTGTGTGAATAGCGTTCTGACTCCATCCACCATCCACTGACATACTTTTTACATAGCTCTCTAGTTTATCCTTCAACAAAGGGAGCTCAAGGAACAAGTGGTCTGTATCACGAATGCATGGAGTAGTCCGACAGACCTGATGAAGAAAGTAAAGAAATATTCAAAAAGTTTTTATTTCATTCCTGCAATGACTATTCAAAGTTCAAACTACAAAAGAGCAAATAAGAGTGCATTTCATATTAATCAAACACATGCTTGTCTGGAAAAAAATGAGTTAGTTATACACATTCTTCAATGTCATTCATTGAAAGTACTGTTGAGTGGGGTCGATTGACCCTGCTGAAATAGAGAACTCATGCTGATTGTCTCCCGAGTCCTGAATGGTTCTATATGGATACATTCTACCTTTTCTCCTTCCATTCTTCTTCTTCTTCTCCTCTGCCTTCTTATTCTTCTCTTCTTGCCTGCTGTGCAGTTCTTTCTTGCCTGCTATGCTCTTTTGTTTGTTTTTGTATTTTTTGGTTTTCCTTCAATTTGCTTGTTTACATTAGTGAGCTTCTGGCTGCTAGCTGCTGTTTTTTCCAGTGCTTTTTTAGGTCTAACAATGAGCTAATGAGTTCTGCTGCACACTATTTAGCCGACCCCAAAATCTTTTGGGAATAAGGCTTGGATGAAAAATAAGCCCATATGCTTTTCAAGGAATTTAAGAGTAAAATAACCCGGAGTAGTGAATAATGCATAAAATGAAAAAGGCAGAAGCTGAAAAATGACAACAACATCTAAGCCTCAGTCCCAAAAGAGTTTGGGGTCGACTACCAATCTACCATGGATCAACATACAAAACTGGAACTAAAAGAATAAAAAGATATACAACAACAACAACATCCAAGCCTTAGTCCCAAAAGATATTGGGATCGGCTAACATTAATCGATACATGATATCACCACCAAAAGGAAAAAGAATAAAAAGATGTGATGAAATAAAAAAGATAAAAATATTTTTAAAAAAAATATAAGAAAGATAAAGATATCATCATTATCATTACGCCAGTGCCGCAAAGGCTCCCACCTCTGTACCGTAGGTGAAAATCACGTCAAAAATTGCATGGACTAACTGTTGCTTCATAATAAAGAAGCGCAGACAGTTTAGTGAGCCATTTTGCTTTATTCCATCATATTACCACGCCAAAAAAAAGTAAGTCTTTGGCTCCATTGGAAATGATGGAAATATAAGAAAGATAAAGATAAGGATAAAAAAAAAAAAAAGAGTTAAGATGAAAAGAAAAAGATAAAGATAAAAAAGAAAAAAAAATGAGATCAATCCTTCACACATATAATCTCCCTCGACTTCACTCTCTCCATAGTCAACTCTCATCCAACCCAAGTACCATATTATTCCTGAACATAACTGTCAATGGCGCAATATGGAGTGTGCAATATGGGGATACGAAGCCTCCTCATCACAAAAAGCCCTTCTGGCAATGACTCTACACGTGGAGTGTCATATTAACGCTATCGCCATGCCATGTGCTGTTAATTGACTAACCAGTTGGCTCATAATATTAATAAAAACCCTATTAAGAAGTAAATAGAGACACCAACTCAGGTAAAGCAGAAAAACTGCTCAACTACATAATGATGGAGTCGGAAAGCTGCACAGGAGGGGAACGACTAAAGGGAAACAACAAAACATCAGCACCAGGATAAAGATGAGACGGATGAGATTTAAATAAAATCAAACTTAATTTCAGCTTTTGATCTACAATAAAACCTAAAGTTCTGTGATCACTAGGAACTTCATTTCTAACCTTAAGGCCTTACATTTTCTCATGTGCCCTAACATAGAGAACAAAAGCCTCATGTGCACTCCAGCCATTTTTAGGTATTCCCTGTTCTGATGTTATGCTGCCCAACACTCTACACAGTTCAAAGCAGCAATCTCTACAACACATTTCAGTGGTTCATTATGTACTTCTAATGTTAGAGAGGTATATTTGCTTGTATTTTCAGATTTGTAGCTATGTGATTGTAGATAAGCAAGTCTCAATGAAGCACATTGTGTGTGTATTATTGAAAAATTATATCTTTTGGGAATCAAACCATTGTATTCCTATTTGGGGAATACACCTATGTCTTACTACTATTTGGGAAAGTCTCTCAAAAAAATATAGAAACGTAATGAGTGATAAGAAACCAGGGAGAAGCACACCTTGCATCTAGGCTCTTTTAGTTCTGTAGGATTTAACAGCTTCCCACACTTTTCGCATTGATCTCCGCGTGCAGAGTCATAGTTACAATCAGGTGTTGGACAGGTCCCCTCTACAAGGCGATCAGCTAAAAATCTTTTGCATGTGTCACAGTAAAGCTGTATTTACAAAGTTTAAACTGTCAAATAATATTGAATGTTAATGGCATACTGAGTATGGAAAGATTTAAGTGTATGCACTAAAATTATGATTACATGAAATATAGAATAGGATATGAACTATGATTATGATGTGGAGCCAAAGAATGAAAGAACATATTAGTAGTAGAAAACTCCATACCTGCTGCATTGTATTCTCAGTAAGCCAGTTTTTCTCCAATAGCTTCTTGAAAATGGAATGACAAACCTCAGTTTGTTTGGGAGTGGATGTTCGCCCAAACTTGTCGAAGCTAATGTTAAACCATTTATAGACTTCCTTATGGATTGCGTGATACCTAATTAAAAGGGAATCATGGTAGAGGAACATATTCAGAATTAATCCAATTATTCAAACATAAACATTACTAAAATACATGTAAACAGGTCTCACATGCAGAGAAATTCACTTACAAATTTATGATCATAATTTTATCATAATTATTATACAAGCTTCCTAAATTCATATATGATCTATGAAGATATGTCAACTGCTCCCTATAACTTGTGTTCTATTATGAAAACTGCCATGTTCTTGGAACTTTGCAACTCTCCACCGGTGTCCCGTACAATATTATAATTTTTTATTTATAAAGTTTAATTGAACCAAATATTAAGGTTAGCAATAGTAGCCTCTGGATGTGAAATTTTAACACAACCTAATATAACTACTCCCTTTTCTAAAATTTTCTACTTCCTTATACATGGTTTAAGATTAATGATCAGAATAATTGTTCAATCGAACTCAAAAAACTTACAAAGGTAAGCGGAACAACTATTTAATTACGATCTACAAAGGCAAGTGGAACAGCTAAAGCCTATGATGTACTTCCACTGTCTCAAATTGTGGAACGCAACGCTTGTTTCGGATGCAATGTTGTGGTTGTGGTAAGCAGTGCAACCACAATGCACCACAATTGCGGTGTGTTTTGAATTCTCCCTTAAAATCACAACGTAAGAGCAACGAAGCCACATCACGATCACAGTAGGCCGCAATACTATTTTCAGCTCTTTTTAAATCATTATTACTATTATTATTGTTATTGTTATTATTGTTATATCTTTAATTTATCATGTTTCTTTTGAAGGGAAGACCAATACAATATTTCTAAGTCATGGTAATATAAAACCTTTTGGACTTGATGTGTGCAAGGTTCTTTTTAATTATTCACCTTTAATACTAAATTAATAGTATCAATTTCATATTTGTTTGTTCACTGTTTACTTATATTTGCTTAAAAGAATTATTAATAGCACTCCTTTTGTTTTCACTTAAATCCATTATTCATTCAAATGAATGGATTCATATACAACATCATTAATAGTATATTTACATAACACTAAAAAATTAATGATTTTCTTGTTTTGAGAAAGTATAAAATCTAATTCAGGCTGAATTGGCCGCATTGAGCATCACAGCCGCACCTACAATTTAGAACCATGACTATGTCTTTTGAAGTGCTATGAAAATCATAAAACCAAGCTGCATAGAGAGCTAGAAATTATATTGGGGTGTGGACATTCTTATTAGCAAATTTAAATATTGAAACAAAACAATATAACAGCCTTACTTGTCGCAAATTTCTTGGGGAGTAGAGTTCTCTTCCATGGCTTTTGTCTCGGTGGCTGTCCCATACTCATCCGTTCCACATATGTATATCGCATTGTATCCTCTGAGTCTACAATACCGAGCAAAAACATCCGCACTCAACACACCTAGCATCATCATTATACCCCCTCATTAAAACATAGAGCAGTTCGATTTCAGTGCATACTTGCAAAAGATTGAGGTAAAACATAAATAAATTGATAATAAATGTACGCATTAACAGCAATTGAAAGAGAGAGAATAGATCGAATGTGTTACAGCCGATAATGTTGCCGAGATGGGGCACGTTGTTCACGTAAGGCAGAGCACTGGTAATTAGGATATTCCTTTTTCCTGGTATTGGCAGTTTGGGGGCTTCCGTGATAACCTCAGCCATCTCAAAGACCTTCTTAGCAGTGTTCGATGTGTGTACACGTAATAGAGGAGAAAATTGATTACGAGACCGGGAGTCGTGGCGGCTGCGGCGGCACAGGCTAGTGTCGGATGATACGGAGGGGGGAAGAAATGAAGAAAATGAAACTTGGACACTGTCTAAAAAGGTTACAACTAGTCTACTAAGTTAATAAAATAAACCACACAAAAATGTGATCTATTTTAATTTTTTCCAAAAAAATCGACTAAATGTCATTTAATTCTTGTATTTAATCATACATTTTTTATTTTAATATTCTTTTCATATATTTAATTATTAGTCCATATTTTACAGTCACCAGCACCTCCGTGGCCGCCGACCCCAACACCACTGCCACCGACACCGCAAGTGTCGCAGCAGTTTGTCTACATGAACGTGTAGCAGCAGTGCCGCTCACACCACAACTATCTCCATAAGTGCGTTGTAGACTGTAGAGTCCTCGCTTCATAAGCCAAACGAGAACGCTTATTACGACATTCGCGCTGGCTTTGCAGAGGGACAACACTCCCACGACCACCAACCGGCAACCGTGGCAGGTGGCATAAGGAGAATACGCATGCAAACACCACAAAGGTCTCTCAAGCCTAAACATCAAGACGTGAGATACAAACACCACAAAAAACTAAACACCCCATTCATAACACTATCCTAAGCCATTCCCTCCCTCCAATAGGGCCGTTAACACGCTTAACACAAATATAGACGAACACACCCGTACTCACACAGAAAAGCAAACATGTAATACATTGGCAATCAAACTTTAGTAATTTAAGGTGGGGAAGAACTTATAAGTAAAGGTAACTGAGTTTTACACACGAATCAACGAATGAGCACCTGAGAGCAGTAACCATGACCAATTCAATTCAGAACTCCGATCGTAAAACAACACAAGCCCACATGAAAACAAAACTGGTGGAAATAATCAGGGTAACTCACCACAAACCGCACCCATGAGACCAAAACAAAACAAACAACATAGAGACACAGAGACAAACAAAAAATTAAATATTCCAACAAAGCATCCAAACAGGCCAAGAACAGTACGACCACCCCAAGAAAACATCTGTGTTGAGGTTTATTCCCCTCAACCCGCAGGCCCAACACGTAACCTAGGGGTTTCGAATGGGTGGAAAGCAAAACAAACTCACTAAACAACGGGGAGTGGGTTAATAACTGTATTTTATTCACTTTAACGATTACAAGCCAAAGGGCCGAATGTACTGAACTATGCTACGTGTTGTTGATGCTATTACAATTCTAGAGTGACGAAGTGCGAACCCTTTACAATGAAATAAATGCGACTATTTATAGTATCCCATGGTGGTGGTGGGGGCTGACGTGGCCGGCTGTGGGCGACATGATCCCAACTACCAAATCTCCCGCATTAAATGCGCTTCCCGCCAAGATCTTGGTTTCCCGCCATAGCGTGGGGGACGTCCGTCCCCTAAACTGGACTCAACCCTCTGGTGGCAACCTGGGCCCTTAAGTATAGTCCACAAGACGTACGTCCCCTGGCCCTTGGGCCCTGGGGCTTGGTCCTCCGGTTGGTACGTACGTCCTCTGGCCCTCGGGCCTTGAGGCCTGGCAACGATGGAACGTACGTCCCCTGGCACTTGGATCTCGAGGCCTGGCCATGCTGGGCTACGTACGTCCTCTGGCCCTTGGACCCTGAGGCCTGGCTATGCTGGGCTACGTACGTCCTCTGACTCTTGGACCATGAGGCCTGGCTATGTTGGGCTATGTACGTCCTCTGGCCCTAAAATGATCATAATCAAAACACTGTCTATCAAAACAATTTCAATTATCCAAATATCTAACCTACTCGAACTAAAATAAAAACAAGTAGTACTAAAGCAAAAATAACACTGTAATAAAGTCTTCACAAAACTCTTTCTAACACGAAGATGGGTCCGGAGAAGGCCGAGCTACTGCAACATGGGTGAATATTAAATTCTTCTTCTTATTTCGTTCCGAACAGACTTATATTAGAAAATAAGATGATATAATTGTTCGTTATTTATAAAAGAACAAATGTATTGGCCATATAGATCTTTAATAGAACAGCGTTTTGCAACAATGCATAAATAAAAACAAAAAAATACAGTGAATAAGTAATTGGAATAATGCAATAAGGTTATTGATGGAGAAGCCTATACTAATTTGTAAGAAAATTATAATGCTTTTTTAACATTAATGAGGAGGTGGGATGCCTATAAATCTTTTGGGGACTAAATATAACTACCCACATCCTCATTATATGTTCCTGGTTTTACTCGAAAGCAAGAATTTAAAAGGATGTGAAGTCGTGAAGATATGCTCTGTTTACACCCCCGTGCAACGTATGAGTGGAAAACCAGTAGGTTGTAAAATTTGAGGTCATTGTCACCGGTAGGCATGGATTGGGCCGGTTCGGCCCGACCCGGTACTCAGCCGACACGCTACTGTGCGGGCCCGGCCCACTAGGACCGGGACCGGGGACCCGAACCGGGGGTATTATGGGTGGACTATGGGCAGCTGGAAAGGTGGTCCGGTCCGGGCCTTTTTTGTTTTTTTTTTGGTTTTTTTACATTTTAAAATTTTTAAAAAATCCTGTCCCGACCCGGTCCCAACCCAGGCCGGTACCGGGCCTGGTCCATCTCTAGTCACCGGAAGTTGAAGCCTCTCGCCGAATCCATGAAACCTGTAGCCATGGGTGAGAAAAAGAGGACGTGCAGCTCTAGCGTAGTAACTGTAGTGCGGCGGAGCAGGTGAACTACTGCGGCGAGATCTAAGGAGCACCACGGCATCAACGTCTCTCTCACAAGCAGCGACAAGGGAATGCACAACAGAGCAGCGGAGGCGGTGACTAGTGTGCAGCGGAGGCGGCGACGCACCATCAAGACATCAACATAGGCAACAGGATAGGCGGTACCGCGATAGCACGAGAGTAGCGACGGCACTCCTGGTTGTCCGGTTAGGAGTGTAAATGAAGTTTGAATGGAGCTTAAGCCTCAAGATGGAGCTCGTTGGCTTGATGGGCACCTGCGAACTATAAACAAAGACACAACGGAAAAAAGCTCAAGGGTATTCTAGACTATTGATTATGAATGGATCACTTTTGTTTTCTTTTTTCGGATTAGGTCCTATATTTGTCCAATTAAAACTCACACGTATGATTGGTGTAATTGTTTCATAATATAAAGATCATCATCACCTTTCAAATAAATTTGCTTACTATTCAAAATAAAGTATTTACCCTAAATAGGAGTAAAACAATAAAGAAGTTCCAAATTAGGAGTTCATGTTGATTTATTCTCCAAATAGGAGTTAACTATTTGATCGTGCAATTTCTTTTCCAATTATAACTTCTTTTGAATTTTTCCGCGTCAGTCTTATCCTCCCACCATCTCTCTCCTCTATCTCCACTTATTTCTTTTTTTCTCCTGCCACACGCATCACTTGCACGTTCTCTTTCAATTCATCATTGTAAGAGCACTAGCCCTTCTTCTTCTACTGTTACAAATTAATCTTTCTCACCAACTCCGATCAAGAATTCAAGAACGTCGATCATCGCAGGTTAGTTTGTATCACCTCCTTCTCCCTTCTTCTTCTATCTTCTTTTTCTTCTTCCTTTTTATTTCCCCCTTTTTTGCAGCGTGAAGTTGCTGACTATTTACCCCTTTTTGACTGATTTTCACTTCAATTTTTTTTCTCTTTCATGATTTGTTTCAATCAAACCGTTTTCTTGCTCTCTTCTCGGTTCTGACTTTAAATTTTTCATCAAGATTTTATTCTTTTGAAATTTTATCTTTTACAATATGTGATGGATGGTCTACCCGGGGGTATATATCCGAAGGGTTATTACGGGGAATAACTTAGAGAGAAGTCAGAGCAAGTAAGTAAAAGTAGAGAGAGAGTGTATTCAGTATGAATGCCGTTTTCAGCGTGGTTACAAATGAGGAAATGGGGTGCTATTTATAGTAGCAATAAATGCCGGACAGGGACACGTGTCAAGCGCTCATTGGCCGAGGGGTCACCTCAACTGGTTGGCGCTGGCAGCCGCATGTGGCCGCATTTAATGCGACTGTTGGATGGGACGTCTGTGCAGGGTACGGTGATCTGCACGCATGTGAGGCGGATATCTTGTCGAGTGAGATGCCTTCGGCTATAGAGCAATGGCCGAGGGCTCCTCCAACCGATGGCACTCTGGTGCCGAGGGCTCACAGTGCCGAGGGCTACTGTTTTCGCCGTTTTCTCCCAGTTTCTTAATTTGCTTGCGAAGCCCGTCCTGTGAGAGTTTAGAGCCTTCGGCCAGGGGGCCGAAGGCACCCCTGGCGCGTAGTGCGGGCTGCTTGGTACTCTGGGCGCTGTGATCTGGGCCTGTTGGGCCTTCGCTGGAGTAGTAGGAGTCTGTGGGCCGGGGGTTCCCGGGCCATATACTCCATCAGGAGTCCCTCACTCCTTTTGCCGAAAGGTATTTGAGGGAAAAGGAGTAACTTGTGCTTGCCCTTTGATGTTGTCCCATCGTGATCTCTGAAGTTGGTGAGGAGTTGTTGCTTTTATGTCCCTGCCGAAGGCAGTCCCTCAGTTACCCACATGTCGGGACTTGAGGGCTTGCCTTGTCGTTTGTTGGAATTTCACTAATTTTGTAATTTAATGATTTTCCCGAGGGGGTCCTCCAGTCCCCCACTCCTTGAGGCACTTGTAAAGTGGTGAAAAGGAGTAGAGTAGTTGTGTTGCTGTTGTGGGCCGAAGGCTGACGTTTTTCGTTTCATTTTGGGGGGATGCCTCGTTAAAAACCTCATTAGGAAAAACCCCGGGGGAAAAAATCCTAATGAGGGAAAAAGAGTGCATCGAATTCCCCCAATGATGAATCGAAAATGTCAAACCTTGGTCAAAAATGGAGAATAACGGTAATGCCGAAGGCTCTTCTTTTTCTGAGGGCTCATGTATTGATCAGCCGAAGGCTTGCCGTTGATATCCTGGGGATGCCGAAGGGGAGCCCCTCAATTCGGGAATCGAGGGCCTGCTGGATGAGGGCGGCAACGGAGTTGTTACCGGGGGTCCACTGTTTGTTGATTAGTTGGTGATGAAGATACCCGAGGGCTCCCATTACCTGTGTGCGACGGGTTATCCGTCAATGAAGGCAACTCCCCGGGGGCTACCCGGGTTTGTAGTGCTGAGGGGGAATTCCCGAGGGGTGCCCTGATATGAAGCCTTGGGTTTCTGAAGGAGTGATCCCGAAGGCGTCTGTTATGTGCTGTGTGGGACACAACCCGGGGGCACTTCTGGGTAAGTGTACCCGGAGGCTATCCTTGATGAAGTGGAGTGAAGTAGAAAACTCGGGGGCTCCCAGAATATAGCCGTTGGGAATATAGCCGTTGGAATACCTAACGTCAGGTTTATAGCCGTTGGGGGGGGGTACACGTGTCATGTAGCCATTGGCTGCTCGCGGGCGGGCGTCACCGGTTGGGTGAAACGACGGTGCGTAATGATGGCTTTGACGGCTGGGAGCCCGGATCTCGGCCCAAGCCCGGATCTGGGAGCCTATAAATACCCCAAGCCAGGGCCATTCCTCCTTTACGCGTCCAACATCCCTAGCGAAGCTCTGCAAAAAATTCTAGAGAGAGAAACTCAAGCCTTCGGTCAAACTCTTTTCAAGGTAAGTGTCCCGCTTTCCCCTCAGCACTTTTTGTAAGTTCCGCCCTCTGGCCTTAGATTAGGGTTAGCGTCCCGTAGAAATCTTTCGAAACCTTAGGTGCTTTTCGTGGCAAGGAATGTCGTCCGAGAGCGATTCCCAAAACATATCGGGGGACCCTTCGGTTGATGAGGAGCACGCTTCAGATGTGGAGTCCGTGAGCGAGCCCTCGGACGGTGCTGATGCCGCCCTGGCCCGGGAGGTCCAGAAGGAACTCATTGCTGAGGTCGAAGCCGAGGGCTTCGAGCAGGAGTGCGAGGATGAAGACTTAGCCCTCGCATGGCAAACAGCGGAGGATGAGGCGCAGAATGAGAGCTCGAAGGTTACGATTGCTGTTCTCCCCCCTCGGGGTTCTGGGGAGGCTAGTAGCTCGATGTCGCTAGATCCGATACCTCTGAGGGCGGTTTCTGGTTTGAAGAAGAAGAAGGCCGCTACCAAGAAGAAGGAGAGGGCCGTCGATCAAGGAAAGCCCGTGGACATGCCCGAGGGGTACAGTTGGCTGAACACTGAGGCCCTCGAGATTAGGTCGAAGGCTGATAGGGCAGATCTGTACGTGACTCAGCTGCACGTGGGGCCCTCGGCCGAAGTGGTGGAGCCAGGTCCCGACGACGTGTTGTCCAGGGCGCCCGAGGGGTGTATCGCCATTCACGTCCTCTCGGTTTCTATGGGACTTAGGTTCCCTCTGCACCCGTTCCTCCGGGAGTATTTGAGGTTTGTTGGTTTGGTCCCCTGCCAACTCACGCCCAACAACCACTCCTACATTGCGGGGTTCCTCCAGCTCTGCAAGTCCCGAGGGGTGAAGCCCAGCCTGGATCTATTCTTCCAGAGCTTTAATTTGTGCCGGGGGGGGGGGGGGGGGGGCACGAAAACGGCGAGGGGTACGCAAACCTGCATCAGATTGCCCGCTTCAAGCTATTCTCCGATGCTCCTTCTTCCAACAAAGGATGGAGGGAACGTTGGTGCTACGTAAAGTTGGGTGAGAGCCCATTCCCGAGGGAGCTGCGTGATCGATTCCGAAGGCACGAAAAAATCAGGAGTGCTGCTCTCGAGAAAGACGACCTAAAGCTGGCCAAGTTCCCGGAGGGGAAAAATAAGAACGTGGCGATCAAAGACTGCACCCTCGAGGAGGATTTATACACCCTCGGGTTCCGGAGGTACCACTTCATAGGGGAGACCGATGAGAAGTACCCTCCCTTCAACAAGGCCTTCGGAGGAGCCGGAGGTAGGAGCCGAGGGCTTTAGAATTCTGTACTTAGTTTTCTTTTTGCTTGGATGTCATTGTCCCTTCGCTTAGACCCGTCGGCCTAACCCTTTGTCATATTTTTTGCAGGTATCCCCGTCTCCATGGTGAACGTGAAGGGCCTCGCTCGCCTGAAGAAACAGGACCCGAAGGGGTCGGGACAGGGCAGCCAGAAGCCCGCCACTGCCCTTTTCAAGAAAGCCGAGGGCGATGCTGCTGCCGGCAAGAGGAAGGCGGCGACCAAGGGGTCCCCCCCGGCTACCAAAAAGCCGAAGAAGGGGGATATCGCCGAGAAGGAGCCCCCGGTCATCATTGCTGATGAGCACCCCGCCTCCGGGGTGCATGTGGAGAAGCCGTCGGGTGAAACACCGGCGGGGACAGAGGAGTTACTGCCTGAGGTCCTCCAAGTTTCGTTCCCGAGGGGGACATCCCTGGCCAGCGGCGCTGTTGACCCGGGGGCCATCTTGAGGGGCATAACCCCTGAGACTGATAGGGCTGCCCTCGGGGCCTATAACAATGCGGCCCTCGAGGACCACATTCTCCGCTCCTCCCTTTCTGTAAGTGTTTACTCGGCTTTCTTCCTTTTCTCCTTTGATTATACTGTGCAATTGCCTTTAACCGTTTTGGTTGTTGGTCTGCAGGCTTGTCTAGCCCTCGGTGAACATGCCCGGAGGCTTCAAGAATGGCGCCTCCATAAAGCAGAGCAGGACGCCAAGATGAAGGAATGCATCCTCAAAAATAAAGAGGCGGTGAAGCTGGGGGCCAGGCTGGAAGAGGAGCTTCGGCAAATGGAGCTGAGATTGGAGGCCGCAGAGAAGGGCAAGGCTGATGCTGAGACCGTTGCTGAGGAGGCCAGGAGAGCTGCCAAAGAGGCCGAGGACTCCAAGGCGCTAGCCGTCGCCAAGGCTCGGGAGGAAGCCGTTGATGCCTTCGTCGCCGAGGGCTGGAGGGCCGAGGGACGCAAGATGTGGCTGTCCTCGGTCGTGGAGGCATACGTCGAGGAATGGGCCGAGGGCCCCGGGTGGGAATGGATGGCCCGGAAGGGCAGAGAATATTATGAGGCCAGCGAATTCTTCACCCAGGCCCTCATCTACCGGAGGATGGCTCGGCATTTGGGCATTGAGCAAAAGGATTTCTCCCCCTCGGCGTATGGCCTTCCTCCCCTGCAGCCTGATGTCCGTGAGTCGCTCCTGGAAGGTGTACAGAGGCCCGACCTTGAGGACACGGAGTTGAAGAATGAGGCCGAGGACGACGCTGTCGAGGCCGGAGCGGAGGCATCATCGAGGCCGGCTGCAGAGGGCACCCCGGTGAATGATGTTGTTGTAGTTGTAGCGTGATTTTGTACTTAGAAATCCTTGAACATATTTTGTAATGAACAACATTGATCCTTCGGCTTCGGCCTGTTTGTAAATTTCACACTCACTTTGTTTTTGATGAATGCATGATGCCCCCGGGCTCTTTACATTTGAATGCGCCTTATGTTTTGAATGTATGCCTTCTACTTCTTGAATGTATGTTGTAGGACTTAGAGTATTTTCTGATTGTAGCTTGCCCTTGGAAGCCTTCAGTAGTTGGGCACCCTCTGATGTGTGAATATTGGACCGAGGGCCCAATGTTCAGGGCTTAGAAAATCTTTGCAAGTGTAGCATGTCATGTAGCCTTCGGCTACTGTGGAGCCCCAACTGAAATATTGATTAGGCCGGGGGCCAATTCTTTAGGACTTAGAAAATTCTCTTCAACGTTGATTCCTTGTGTATTGTAGCCCTCGTTGATAGGCAGCCTTCGGCTATTGGGTCCCTTTATAAGTTGAAGGTGAAACATGTAGGGCTTAGAAAGATTTCTAAGTGCAGTTTCTCTTGGGAGCCTTCGGGAGATGGCACCCTCCATGGTGTATGAGCAGTTGATCGGGGGGGAAATATGTAGGTCTTAGAAAATACTCTAAGTGTATATTTTCCCTTGGGAGCCTTCGAGAGATGGCATCCCTCCTTGGTGCATGAGTAGTTGACCGGGGGAAAAACATGTAGGACTTAGAAAATATTCTAAGTGTAGATTTTCCCTTGGGAGCCTTCGGGAGATGGCATCCCTTCTGATTCCACATCACTTTGCGAGATGCCCGGGGGCTGCTCATTTAGGACAGAATATTTTTTAAGCGTTGTTGTATTGCCTGGCCTTCGGCTACCATATTCCCTTGGCAGTAATATTGATTGGGCCGGGGCCCAATCTTCAGGACTTAGAATTTTTTGCAAGTGTAAAGTGATGTCAAGCTTCCGGATGTGGAGCCTTCGGGTGATAGGTGGCTTCTGACTCTACATTATTTTGCGAGATGCCCGGGGGCTGCTCATTCAGGACTTAGAATATTTTCTAAGCATACATTGATGTTGAATCCTGTTGCTGTGAAGAGAGCCAATGAGGAGTGTGTGCCCTCGGCATACACTTTAAAAGTTGTAGAATTTGACCCTTGTCATGGGGAAAGGGCCCTCGGTACTAGTGCGTAACAGATGCCTTTGGTATATGTTTGAAGGTACCGTCTTAGTGTACTTTGGACTTAGCCGTTTCTCGATGCTATTTGTTCGAGTAGTATCCTTCGGGAAATAGGAGCCTTCAGTTACCGGAGGTGTTCCCGTGGGGAGCCCTCGGCATGTTGTGATCTGTTGGAGTGTACTCTTTGATTTCTCGCTGAGTCTACTCCCCTTCACCCCCCCTTTTTTTTTTGGTTGGTGGTGAAGGGAAGGCATCAAGAAACTTGGTTTCTTGGTAAGGCTGGGCCTATTAGGAGACCATCAGAATACACCAATGGCTCTCCTCCCTCGGGTTAACCTTCCGAGTTCCGAGGGGATCGAGGGACGTTTCCTGGGCACAAGATATGGTGGTCCGTAACCTGCCTCTCCTTGGGGGATGGCGCGGAAAGCGCCTCATTTTTGAAAGTCGTCCCCTCGGCGCTAGACATAGTCCGTGGCCTGCCACACCCTTGGGGTGGTGGCGCGGGGAGCGTTTCGGTTTGGAAGTCGAATCCTGGGCATTTCTCATGCATGTCATACCCTGGGGGTAGTGACGCGGATAGCGTTCCGTTTTTGAAAGTCGAATCCTGGGCATTTCTCATGCCTGTCATACCCTGGGGGTAGTGACGCGGAAAGCGTTTCAAGGAAGGGTTTTCATTTGCACACTAGTTGCAAATGGCCGGGGGCACTACGTGCCGCCGGCACCGATGGTGGCGCCTTCGGTATATGCATCCTCGTGGGGTACGGCTTTTAGAAACAACACTTGGTGTTAGTTTCGATGTGTAGCCCCCGGTACTTGGTACCGAGGGGTCTTCTGTAGGAACACTTGGTGTTCTCTTTTGTTGTAGTTGATGTAGGCGTCTACCCTCGGTACTTGGTACCGAAGGGTCTCCAAATGAAACACTTGGTGTTTCCCAACAGATGTTTGGAAGTTGATAGGAGAGCATATCCCTGGCACTGGGTGCCGAGGGGTCTTCTTTGAAACATTTGGTGTTTTTTCTTCGTTTCGATGTTTGATGACGGAGGTGTACCCTCGGTACTGGGTGCCGAAGGGTCTTCTATAGGAACACTTGGTGTTCTCATCTTTTTCTTTTTTGATGTTGAAGGGGGGGATGTACCCTCGGCACTGGGTGCCGAAGGGAAATGAATTACATGACGTTCTTTGTTGTTGGTGATAGGAGTTCCCTCCCTCGGTACTTGGTACCGAGGGGTCTTGAGAGAAAACTCGTGGTGTTTTCACTGTTGTTGTAGGTGTTGATGGTGTCCGCCCTCGGCACTTGGTGCCGGAGGGGGTTCCTCTCGTGGTGAGGTCGGGGGCCTGTAGTCAGTATGAGGGCTTGATGTGTTGAATGTATCTTCATTCTTCGAAATTGGAGGCCTTGGGCCATAGGATAGTACATTCACTAGTTATGAGGGCTTGGCCGCTCTTACATTATTGATAAAACTTAACTAAATGGTGTACATTCCAATGCCTAGGGACTTCTTTCCCGTTGGGGCGTTTGAGCTTGTAGGTCCCAGGTTTGATGATGGCTGCTATGATGTAGGGGCCTTCGAATTTTGGTGCCATTTTTCCTCCCTCGTTTGGTTGGCTGGCTTCCCTCCTCCGGAGGACATAGTCCCCCACTTGAAATTCTCGGGTGCGAACTCTGGCGTCGATGTAGCTTTTAACTTGCCTTCGGTAGTTTTCTGCCCGGATGAAGGCCTGCTCCCGGCGTTCTGAAATGAGGTGGAGGTCGAGGGCCATGTTGCTGTCGTTGACCTCGGGATCATATTGGATCACCCTTCGGGTAGGAAGGGTGACTTCCGTAGGAGCTCTGGCTTCAAAACCGTAGCAGAGGGAGAAGGGTGTTTCTCCTGTTGCTCGCCGAGGGGTGGTGCGGTAGGCCCAAAGGATGTTGTGGAGTTCTTCCACCCAGCCACCACCCTCGGCCTTCAGCTTCTTTTTGAGGCCCTCGAGCAAGGTCCGGTTGGCGTTCTCTACTTGCCCGTTGCCTTGAGGGTAGGCAACGGAGGAGAAGGTGTGTTTGATGCCCCATGCCTCTAGAAGGGCACAGAAGGGGGTTGCCTCAAATTGTGTCCCATTGTCGGAGATGATCTGCTAGGGGACGCCAAACCTTGTGAGGATGTTCTTGAGGACGAAGTGACGGCACTTCGCCTCTGTGATGCTGGCGAGGGGTTCAGCCTCCACCCACTTGGTAAAATAGTCGACGGCCACAATGATGTATCTGTTGTTGGAGGTACCCCTCGGCAGAGGGCCCACAAGGTCTATCCCCCATCGAGAAAATGGGACAGAGGTGCTGATGGGGGCATAGTTGACCGCTGGCCTGCTGGGAGCTTTCTGGAAATGTTGACATGCGGTGCACCTCCGGGCAAGGTCAGCACAATCCCTGGCCATGGTTGGCCAGAAGTAGCCCTGGAGAATGAGCCTTCGGGACATGGAGAAGGGTCCCTGGTGAGCTGAGCAAGTGCCACTGTGCACTTCCTCCATTGCGACCTCGGCTTCATCTGGATGAAGGCACCGAAGTAGCGTGCCATTGTAAGATCGTTTGTAGAGCCTTCCATCTTCGATGGTGTAGTTGGGAGCCCTCATCTTTGCTAGTTTAGCACGGGCCTCATTTTCGGGTAGCTGCCCTGTGGAGATGAAGGCGGTGATATCTGAGATCCAATCCTCCCGACGTTGTTGTATGTTCATAACGGGGCTTGCATGGATGCTTGAGAGGCTGAGTTCCTCGATTTTGGCAATTTTGGAGATGTGCTCGGGGGAGTCGGCCGAGAGCTTAGGTAATATGTCGGCCTCGGAGTTCTGAGCCCTCGGTATTTGAGTGAGAGAGTGTGCCTCAAATACCTTAAGCAACTCCTTGGCCGCTTCCTTGTACTGTTTCATTCTCCCCTCCTTGGCCTCATATTCTTCGGAGATTTGGCCAACGACCAACTTGGAGTCGCATTTGATGTGGATCTGCCGAGCCCTCATGTTGGCAGCCAGCCGAAGGCCACATAGGAGGGCCTCATATTCGGCCTCATTGTTGGAGACCTTGAAGGAGAAGCGGACTGCATAGTAGGCCCTGAAGCCCTCGGGAGTAATGAGGACTACCCCTCCTCCGCATGCTTTGGTCGCGGAGGAGCCGTCAGTGTAGAGGGTCCACCAGTCGTCCGAGGTAGCCGAGGGCTCCCCGTCCGTGGCTGCCCTTGCGGTACATTCCGTCACAAAGTCCGCCAGGGCTTGGCCCTTGATGGCAGGCCTTGGACGGATGTCAATGTTGTACTGGCTCAAGAAGATAGCCCATTTAACCATGCGGGAGGAGCTGGTGGGGCTCCTCATGAGGGCGCCGAGGGGTTGATGAGTGAGGACCTGAACCGGGTGAGCCTGAAAGTAGTGGCCCAACTTCTTGACAGTCCAAACGATGGCCAACACCGTTTTTTCCACAGAGGAGTACCTGAGCTCGGCTTCCCTTAGGGTCTTGCTGACGTAGAAGATGGCGTGTTGGATGCCGTCTTCCTCCCGGATGAGCACAGAGCTGATGGCCGCCGGGCTGACCCCAAGGTAGAGATAGAGGGTTTCCCCTACCTTTGGTTTTGAGAGCACGGGGGGTGAAGATAGATACCGCTTGAGTTCGTCGAAAGCCCCCTGGCATTCCGGGGTCCATAGAAAGCCAGCCGTCTTCCTCATGATCTGGAAGAAGGGTAGAGACTTCTCCGCTGATTTAGATAGAAAGCGGTTGAGGGCTGCCAGGCGGCCCGTCAACCGTTGAACTTCCTTCACATTGCGTGGGGGCTCCATGTTGATGATGGCCTGGATTTTCTCGGGATTGGCCTCAATGCCCCTTCGGCTCACCATGTAGCCCAAGAACTTGCCCCCTTGGACGCCGAAGGTGCACTTCTTCGGGTTTAGCCGAAGGTTGAATTTTTGCATGATGGCGAAGATCTCCCGTAGGTCGTCAGCATGGCTGGAAGATTGTTTGCTCT